TCTTCATTCCTCCCTCTCTTCAACTAAATTCCCGATTTCGGCTCAGTGTATATCTGTGGATGTCTGTCTCTGCTTCCTTCAGCCACTGGGTGAGGGCTCTAGGATGGCATAAAGAGTAGTCATCAATCTCATTTTTAGGGGAAGGGCTTTTAGGTTATCCTCTCCACCATTGCCTGGAATGTCAGATCATGTCATCCTTGTAGGTCTCTGGAGATCTCCCTGGTTCCAGATCTCTTCTCCGAACTATAGTGGCTCCCTCTGATATGGTATCTCTCATCCTGCTCTCTCTCCTCTATTCTTCCCCCAACTCAATATTTCTGCCCCTCCATTTCCTCTCCTCTACTCATCTTCTCTTGCTCTTATTGTAGCAGCTCCTTCCCCCCTCCCCTCATGCTCTCAATGAGGGTTAGGGGGAGCATGAGGGAGTTAGTTCAGGAGTTCATTCCACTTCCATTCCTGGGGACCATTTATCCCTTAGAGTCCTTCATGTTTCTAGTTTCTTTGGTGAAGAGGATTGTAGGCTGGTAATCCTTTGCTCTATGTCTAAAATCCATATATGAGTGAGTACATACCATGTTTGTCTTTTTGTGACTGGGTTACCTCACTCAGGATGGTTTCTTCTAGTTCCATCCATTTGCCTACGAATTTCAAGATTCCATTTTTCCCCCTGCTCAGTAGTACTCCAATGTGTAGGTTCAATTTATGATTTTTTTTATTTCGTGGAGGTTAAAAAGTGATATGCATGCAGTAGAGTAGTGTCTGCAAAATGTCTATGGAGAACCTTATAGCTTTCAGGATACGATAGACTCTGATGATGCCCTATGGAAGACCTCACCATCCAGGGGGAGCAGAAAGGATGTGTGATAGGTAAGGTTTTAGTTGGGGGGAGTGGTAGGGGAGGACAGGAGGTAGAAGGGAACTGGGATTGCCATGTAAAACAATCCTGTTTCTAATCAAATAAAAAATCTGAAAAAAAAAACTCAAAAGTGCCCAGTTTGCAGCAGCTCCTCAGGTGGCAACAGACAGCTTTGAGTACTTCTGTGGAATAGAGTATGTCAACTGGAATGTTTGCTTGAGGAGTTGTGGCCTCTGAAACAAGAGAGCTAAGTAACTCAGGTAGAGGATATTGATGAAGAAAATGTTTGTTATCTAAAAGTTTAAATTTGATGCATCTGAATCCACTATCCAGTAGTAAGGGAAAAGCACCAAATAGACCTTCAAGACTCAGAGAAAATCTGAGGAAAAAGAAGTAAGCCCCACCCCGTCCCATTTGCCCTGGAGCATGTCTGGAAGACATTCCCTTTGGTACCATTCTAAAGGAAAGCTTAGAAAGCACTTAGTGGAGGGTGGGTAGGTGGAAAGGTTTCAGGAATGCTTGGATGAAGGGCTGGCTGGAGCCAGGACTGGATCGCAGCTTTCCTGTGGGATGATGCACCTGTGCTTGGAATGTGGGGCTAAAGTTTGAGGGTTTATTGGCCTTTTCTACACTATTCTGTCACATCTGTGTTTTCGGGCACTTTACTGTCAGACTGTCTGTTTTTGGGTCTAAGAGTCAGGCCATCTATTACTAGGAACAGTGGTAAAGTCAGAAGTAAAGTCAGCCTTTTTGGTATGTTTGCATGAAAAGGGCTATATTTGCTGTAATTGGATTATATGAATATGGTGTATAGACAGTCATATATACTTTAATTAGATTTGAAAATACTTTGAAATTTCAATTGCTTGAAGTGCTATTCATTTTATTGCATTTCTGTTCTTTTGTTTGGGGTTTAATTTTCTTAGTAGGTACTATTTAAGATGAGTCCTGATAAGATATTTGACTTGTTTCATTCTTTTAGATTTTGCGGTGTTTTGTGTGTCTACTGTGTGCCACTTATGACAGGCTATGAGAATCCATACGTGAGTAACATTGCCTTCACTTGGTCTTATCGAATTGTGTTGCAAATGATGTATTAAAGGCATGGGGCCTTTTAGAGCCCTATGGGAAAGGAATGGATTTAAAATACAAAAGTGAACCTGAAATGTTTTGTTAAAGAGAGATCTCTGAGGATAGCATTGAAAGAGAAGCAGCAGTAAAAAGGCAAATAGCAGTGAAGAGAATGACATTACACAAAGAGCAGCATCTTTTGAGATGCAAGGTACAATCAGTGTCTGGGAGGAACTTCAGCTGAGGGTGTGGTTCACAGGGTGAAGAAACAAGAACATGAGCCAGGCTGAGCTAAATAATAATAACGTGGTACTTGAAGGAGCAATATAAACATTCGAGCTCCAGAAGAATTGATGTATGGGAAGATAAAGTGTGGAAGGGGTAGATTAAGATTGAAGGTGGGATGGAGACTCAGTGAAGCCAGCCTAATGGAGAGAGAACAGGACTTTTAGAGATACTCGGGAGATTTGTAGCCAAGACTCCAGCGTCTATATGAGGTGGATGAGGAAGGAAAGGCAAGGGAACGGGGTGTCTTCTAGGCTTCCACGTTAGGCAATTGAGTTCCATTGTGCATTAAAAGCAATACAGCCTACTAAGTAGTATGTTTTCATCTGACAGTTCCTCCTTTACTATGAGTAGAGTGGTAACACATGCCCAACTGAAAATCAAATAACAGATTTGGTAACTTGGGCATGAAATGTGAAACTAAGCATTCATAAGCAGATTATTTCAGTGTGGACTCCTGTGAATCATAGCATTTTCAGTGCTTTCTCTAAGAATGTGCAGTTATATATTTTGTAAGAGGATGGAGTGCTCTGTTTAGTTAAGGAAATTGCAGGCAATAATTTTTGAATTTAAAACAATCATTTCAGCTATTTTATTTAGGAATGTATTATATTTTCCTTCCTTCTCATGCCACTTAAAGGTTTCCTAGACACAGGTTCTCCATTCACAGAGATCAACAGGAAGCAACACAGGGACATATTTAATTCTGTTAATATATATTTTCCAGATGACTATCATAGTTGATTCATAGTTAACTTATTCCTTTTGCATTATAGTATAACTTTCCTTTATTAATTAATTTACAGAAATTTGCTGTTTTAGCACCAAAGATATTTTGGATTGGTCTTCCCATAAAATGTGACTACAAATAGTATTATTTCCATTTGACTGCTTAGTGAGCATTGCACTCATTGTTATAAGGTCAGGACTCAGATGCAGTTGGTTCCAACCTGGAGGGTAACTGCACTTTTGGCTTATTATGAGCAACTGTATCTCTCTGGGTCTTCCTCCTCACTATTTTTATGTGTCTAGGCTATCTCCGTATACTCTGGAAGCTAAATCCAATAATTTACATTGTTGGTATATATCAATCATCTAATGTTAATCACTACTGATATTATTTTCTGGCTCTGATCATAAACTTTTGGAATGCAAATTAAATAGAACCATGGAAAATAACATCTTAAAATTCTGTCTCTAGTGACTTTTCTTTTAAAAATAATGCACTTTTACTGTTATTAATAAAAATTATTTCTACTCACAATTTTACCACTATTTATAATTACCAGTAGTTTAACATTGCATGTATATGCTTCATATTTCAAATAATTCACTAGCTAGATGAGGAGGCATAACAATAAATGATTGATAGGTGACATTCCCCAGTGATGTGTTATACGATTTCCTTAGTGAAAGTTAATCAAAATTGTTACAGCAACTTTATAGAGCATTCATGATACCACCCAGCCTTCAGAGCCCTCTTTTTACTTTGTTTCCATTCAATATAATGTTACATGATTTACTGAAGAAATTAAAAATGATGAAACTTGAATGACAATACAATATGGAATAAAGAAAACACACGATGAGCTTGGACCCAGGTATGTGTGTATGAGTATATATTTTGCCAGTCCCAGAAGAGTCTTTGATTATTTGTTGGTATGAGCTTCTTCTAAGCGGAGAAAGTCAGGGAAAGATAAAAGGTAGACAATTAGGGAAACTTTGCATATGAGCCTGAGAAACAGGCCTTCCAACTTTTGTGTATGCATTTATTATGTTTGAAAGTGTTACCTGTGAGTTAAGTTAATACAGCAACCCACCACAGGAAAAATCATTCTCTGCTACATTGAGGTGTTCAAAATTGTGAGTAAAACACTAGGGTTAAAAGGGCTGCCTGTCTCCAACATGCCTCCTCCAGTTGTCTTTGGGACAGATACATGTGGAAACTAGAAGAGTCCTCTAGTGTACTGCATGTGCATATGTTAGGAGAGAAATACAAGCCAGAGGTCACTTGTGTTGATTTCAGATGAAGTGTTTCTTGGGATTCCTTTTACTTTCCATGCAATAGGTCAGTCATCCCATAAAGCCCCACCTCATTCTTCCTATAGCCACACAACTTTGTTGACCTGTTTATTTTTCTATGCCCCTCAGTGTCCCAAACTACTCTTCTTCCATGAACACTGCTACAGTTTCCAGAAGTCTCAATCTTACCTTTCTTAGGAACATAGACACTCAGAAATTTACCTCCTTTGTCAGTGTGAAAGATACAAAATAAACATGTTGCAAACAGAATGCGAAGGTTAGAAATTTTAACCAAGAGAGATGTAACATTGCATGCACAGGCTTGCGTTTGCTGTATAGTATTTCCCTGTGGATCTGATCACCATTTCTGCCTTGGCTTGGCTCATTGGTTTTAGACATGCGATGATTGCAGTCAATATCCTAAAGACTTGCCATAGGCCACATCTCTGACCTCTTGCCATCCATCTATTTAATGCCACTCCATTTTAGGATCTTGTAGGGCATTAATGAAATAATGACATAACTATAAGAACAAACTTCAGACTGCTAAATGACACAAGGGTTGGGTGCAGTCTTGATGAATTTTCCATTGATGGGGCAATGATTTCTGAAGCAGAAACCTTCCCCATTTAAACAAGGACGTGAATCTGCAAAAGACCTGTATTTGACACTTTAAAACACAGGAAAAAATAAACAATAACCTGAAGTAAACACCTAGTGAAGATGACTTTGCTTCGGGTCCACACAATAACTTTGAGTCTTCTCTTCAGTTCGGTAAAATATAATTTCTGCCAGCGGGAGTCAAAATTGGTATCAGTAACTACATGGCATTTACATGGGTCTCTCTGTGCTCTCCTCTTCGAGGCATTGGGGAAATCTTAGAGATCAGCTGAAAAATACTATCTGGCTTATGAAGGAAGGCATTCATTTATGTTCCAAACAAGGGAACTGAACATTCAGTCATAACCTCATGATCATGAGAAGTCCACAATGGGTTTGCACACAGTAGAAGCAGTCACTGAATGTTTCACATTTGATAAATGTGTGTTCCTCAGTTCACACTTGTGGTGAGACAACCTAGTCATCTGGCCAAACCATACCCTCAAATTATACCCTGGAATTCCCTAAAATCCAATGGTAGCTATTTATGCTTTTTATGATCTATTACTGTTATAAAATATTCTTTAATTCAATGGAGTTATTTATGGAGATGGGTTGGTCTTCAAGCACTGTGCCAGTTCTGGAAAAGGGGTGAATATTTAAGATAGCACACTGGGAACTATTTGTTTTTCATTACTCCTGCTACAGGCTGATATATACCAAGTATGTAACTCCAGGTTCTTATTAGTAAGTTTTAGGGACAGTCAATTGCTATCAGGGACAATTCAAAGGAAAAAAATTATAGTTATTTCAGACTCAGGCAAACTGGAATATTTTCTTTGGTATCTTTATCCTATGCTTCAGTTTATAGGCACCAACTATATTTTCAGGGAAAAGCCTTCATTTTATCTTCCATGCTATAAGGAAACACTCAGATTAGGTGGTTAGGTACCAATTTTGTTTTATTGTCATTCAGTTTAAATCTTGTTTTTTTTTTTTTTTCCCTACAACACTGTTGTATAAACCCATTCTCGCTGAATTTGAAATGTCTGGTCTAAAAATAAGAACAATTGTATTTCCACTGAGTATTTCAGAGAAGCATGTAGGAAAGATTAAATTAAGGGATACTATACAAACAACTTTATAATACATTAAATGTTATGTAACAAATCTCTTTTCTTCAGTGGAAAAGATGACCTTAGATAGAAAACTCATGAGATATGATGTTATACTTATAGTCAGTGGCTCACAATTTCAGGCTGAGCTTTGAAAGAAAGAGTGAGAGCCTGGAATGAAAGAGAAAGAACAGATGAACCCAGTGTGAACAACTGTGGACTCAGTAGTCCTAGAAAGCTACAAAGATGTGTAGGATATTCTGGCAGAGGGTAAAAGTTTTCCTACTTTAGAATGTGTTTGACTTGTGATTTTTAGGCAACATTATACTTGTTTTTTTTCTGGATAAAAATACTTTATCATATTTCATCTTACTAGATTCTTTACTGCTCTACCACCTCAAAAGGCCTCTTTGCATTTTAGTTAGTAATTAATTAAAGCAAGTAACCTTCTTGTTTCTATATCATGTTTGAGTTTGATGAAAATATTACTCATATTTTTATTGCAGATTTTGCACGCTGAAGGCCCATACTAGTATATAATAGGCTTTCTGCTAAGTCTTAAGGGAAATGCAATGGGTCAAACATCACAGTACCCAAATCCTATTTAGTGTTCAAATAGTCTACTGGAAGAGAGGGCAGTGCTGCACCAACTTAGGGAAAACAGTAATTTTGGTACAGAACAAGGCTAAAGTTACAGACTGGTCATGCAAGTCAGCAAAACACAGACTTTTAGAAAAGTTATGTCATTGAAAATGAAATAAAGAAATTTCACTAAATTGTTTTTGCCTTTGCTTTTCTTTTATCTTATTTGTTTACAATCTAATTTTTTGGTGTGGGGAAACTTTAAAGACGCAGTGTAGGGAATACATTTGACATGTTCAAAAGTGTCGAAGAAGTCTCAAGGAATCAGTTATAATCCTGAAGAACAAATGGTTAAGGGAGAGAGGAAT